ACTAATGATACTGTAGCATCTATTTAACTACGATGCTCAAAAAATCATTAGTGATACATATGGATGTATCTTTTTCTTCATAAGTGATCAGAAAATTGGGATTAATACTCTACACAATTATGTTTTGAGAGAAAAGCATAAATAATAGTGTTATAAAGAAACTGTAACTTTCATGGATGGTTAAATGTGTACCAAATTTTTATCACTTTGTTTTCAAAAATTGTTTTTAAAGAATTTAACATTGTATTTTTTTTGAAATGTGCTCTGTGTGATAATTATTTGTGCAAATGTATATATTGTGTAATAGTTTAATATTATATTATATTGTGCCTTATTGAATAAAAGTTGTTTTATTGTTAGCATATGGGTTAGCGTTTCTGCTTATGAGGTGTACTGCACGTCTATTATTTTACTGACTAGAAACTCTAATCGAATTTTGCTATTGGATTGTGTTCATCAGTCATATTTGTGGTTACTTTGTTCATTTCCATAAGTTTAGCTTTCTCGAATGATATGATACGTGAGATCAGATCGCAGATAGTTGTTTCATCTAGAAAGAGATATGTTGGAAGTATTCACGAGAAGTCAGAGTTGCTGGAAATGGAACGTTGGTGTTGGGTTCGCACTATGTGGGTCTGCTTTTAGTTTTCTGTCTAATCAGGAACAATTCCTACAAATTGGTCCCTTCCGTATCGTTCGTGCTGGTGCTGCGGTATAATTTCATCTCTGTTTTTTTACATGTAAAGTCTATCATTATGTTTCATGTGGGGCGATGATATTGCATTTTCATGCGTCTTAGTGATATCATCATGACTTTTGGTGAAAATTGTCAGCTTTCATTTCACTATTTATTAATATTCTTTTGGGTTTCTAGGAAAATATTGGTTATTAATTCTGAGAAAATTTAGTTTCATATTGTCATAGGGTTTATTTAATTTTGCAGTTCCTCTTCATTTTGTTTAATTTTTGTTTCAGATTCTGTGTATAGTTGCTGATTATAAATGGACTATGTGGACATCTTCGAAAACAGATACATGTTATCGCCAAAAAATTAGTGCCACTCATAAGAGAAGTGCCGAAAAGCTGCTGAAGCTGGCAAAAAGTAATGGTGGTGTTTATATTAAAGTAAGAAGAGTTCTTACTTCTAAACTTGTCATTTTTTGATATCAGCTAACAGTTGTCGGATGTAGGTACTACTGCCTTAAATACTTATTTTTGATTAATTGAATGTGAATTCATGATGAAGGAATTTCCCGAGAAGATATTAGATGACTTTTTAATATTATTTTCAGGTTGGGCAGCATTTGGCTGCATTGCAATATCTTCTTCCAGTTGAATACACGGATACTTTGTCTGTTTTGCACTCAAAAGCACCGGAGTGTCATATGAATGAAGTCCGACGAGTAGTAGAAGAGGATTTTAGTGCGAAGGTTATTGTTTAAAACTTTATGATCTTTGTTTTAATTGTTAAGTTTAATGTTGAGAAAAAGCTCATTAGTCAATTTTTGAATATGAGGGAATCGCATGAGCACAACGACTTGTATTTTATTGTCGTGCTTCATGTGAATAACTTTTGAAAGGATTTATCCAAAACAGAATATTCATTTAATTTTATTCATAATACGCGCTGTAGCATTAGTGTTAAATTCTTCAGCTAGAGGATTTATTCACTGAGTTTAATGAACATCCAAAGGGTGCTGCATCCCTTGCACAAGTTTATCGGGCAGTCTTACGCGAAAACAATAAGGAAGTAGCTGTAAAAGTCCAACATATTCATGTGCGGCCTAGAAGTTGGACTGATATCACAACTATTGAGGTATTTTTTTGAGAAAATCACGCATAGTTAAAATAAGATTTTGAAAAAGACAATCTGACTGCAAACATGACTAATTTTTCTGATTTTTCAGACATTCTCAAGAAACAAAAATAATCAGCACTAAAATTTGTTAGCACACAATTTGAATTTCAGAGTTTAGCGAAGTTCGCATCGTGGCTATTTCCAGATTTTCATTTTATGTGGCTCGTTGACGAAATGAAACGAAATTTGCCAAAAGAATTGGATTTTAGAGTTGAAGCAGCAAATGCTAAAAAACTTAGGAGTATGTTCTCACATTTAAAGTATCTGAAGGTAAATTTTAAGAGTTAAAGCTCCAATATTTTTGCTTCGTTCGTATGAATGATAGAAACAAAGTTATCTTGTATATTTATTTCGAATGTGTTTTTTTATTATATTCATTCAACCTAATCCTCGAATTAAAGAAATTAGATTCATAATATTTTTTTCAAGCTATGTTTTAAAGCGTGTAAAAAAATTGTATTGCAGATTCCAATTATATATGAAAACTATACAACAGAACGTGTTCTGACCATGGAGTACTGTGATGGTGCTCAAATAAACGATATAAATTACTTCATAGAAAATAATATTAACCGTTATGATGTAAGAAGAGTAGTTTGGGATTCTTTTATTATTGTTTATCTAACTTTTTTCTGCTCAATTTAAAGCTACTTTATGTAAAGCATTCAAGTTCGTGCATGCTTTCAAGTATTTCGATTGCAGGTTTGCCGCAAACTTGGTTCGCTCTTCAGTGAAATGATCTTCCGCAATGGATATGTTCATTGTGATCCACATCCTGGCAATGTTTTGGTTAATAAAGCAAAAAACGGAAATGTTTCGATTGTTCTTTTAGATCATGGACTTTATTTAGTTCGTAATTATAAAAAAATGAAACCTACTCTCAGAAAATGTGATAAGTAGTTTTTTATAAATAAGCAAATGGTAAAACTTGACATAATGCGTCGTTTGAAAAAAAAAAA